ACCTTTTATTATTTCAGTCTCTCCCAACCCTATATCGTTAGGGTGAATCAAAGTGAAAACCCACTTACCGATTCGCCATAACAATACCTCTGTCTAGTAAAATGGAATAATTTTTTAGGATTCACATTATTGATTTTTATGAGTTTTCAGCAATCAAAATAAATAGCCATATGACTTTTATAAATCTTTAGTCTGTAGTAATCAAAATTGACAAATTTATCTTTATCAAATGATATAAATAAACAATATCAATGATATACACTAAGTTTTCTAGCAGTTAATAATTCTTGTAATGGAATTCTTACTCATATTGCCCATTGAACTGGTATTTCATTCTATTTTATGATAGATAATATATCAAATAATCTTTCATTATTGAAGAGTTCATCATATTATTTACTATCAAAAGCAAAATGATTTCTAATATATTTTCTGATATATTTCATATCATATCCAGGATGAGTGTTAAAAGATTTGAATAATGTTCTATCTTTCTTATTGAGAATAGTTATAACATCAAAACCAAATATATTTATTACTTGTAGAAAATATTATATTTAGCAGTTTTAGCATTTTTGATCTATTAGATTTGTTTCTTTATAGTATAAGAATATATGATTCATTTTTAGTATGGATCTTGAATAGCCCCTATAGGATCTGAGTTATTAGATGAGTTGTGTATAATCATTATATTTTGCAAGTGATACATACAATGAGCATATGAAATAGTAATCTGCTGATTGGTAATACATATGTTTAATCAACATATTACATGATATAAAACTGCTTTCTCAGGATGATTACTTGAAAAAATTTCTGCTGAAAAGTAGGTAATGTAATACATGCATTATGCAACTGAATATATTTCTAATTATTTTAGTACTAATCCGGAATTACTGATTATAAGCTAGCTTAATTTTGATTCCCCAATTCATTAACTGATAGTTAGTTCATTAACCGTAATATTTTGCCCAACATGAATATTATTTTGCATTTGAGTTCATAATAAAGTATCAAATTAATTACTTAGAATGAAATCTAAAGAACTAGTGTCATGATCATATAGAATAAATCAGATATAATTTGTGTTAAGAAATAGGATACACAAGAAACTAAGCTAATTCATCTTTATTTTATAAAATTAAGATATATTAATCACCTTTACTGTGAGATATAGTTTTATGAGCTACAGATATAAAAATATGTATTTTCTTAGTAAACTGGTCCTAAGATATAAAGTAATCCATATCATAACTTTTTATAATATGAAACCTACGTAATTTTAAGCAAGCATTATAATCCATAACTGTAAAAATCTTAATCATATTGACTTCATTATTATCTAATAAAATCGAATCATAAATTATAGGGTGAAGCTATTACTTTGCAATACAAATCTATCAGAATATTTTCGATTACTTCTGATTTTTTACTATTTTCTGGCTTTTTGCTGATTCAAATGATATTTCTATATATCATAATCAAATATAATTCTGGGAATACTGAAAAGTGATTCAATGAGAAAATAACTGTCTCACTCAAAAAACAACAAAAAATTATCTCTGATTTATCTGAAATCATAAAACATCTTGATTATGATATTCATGAAGTTTGAGATGGGGTCACAAGAAGTAGTAATATGGGATCTGGTATATTCAAAATGTCTCAAAATTATACTGACACTATTTTCAAACTGTGGGAAGAAATTGATATATTATTTAATAAGAAAAAGCATGTTAAAAAGCAATCTATGGCAAGGCTATACCTCAAGATAGCTGAAGAAATCTGAACTCTTATTATCAATCATAAGAGAAAGGTAGCAATCAGTGATGCCACTATTAGAAATTTTCATAAAAAAATGACTAAAAATCTGAAAGAAGAGATATTAGACATATTAAAGTTATGAGTATTAAAACAAAATGGGGTGATAGATACTGAATCAGAAAGTGAGGAGGAAGAAGAAATAAATTATGATAGCTAATGTAAAGTAGAGAAAGGAGCTCTCATTTTATGGATTAGAGCTCGAGATGCTCCTCTCTCTTTGTTCTTACTCCACAAATGATTCTATTTCAAAGAAATGAGCTACACTCTACAAGGCTGGTCTTTATTGCAGAGCAATGATAATGCAGATACATAAGTGCTATTGTTCCATAATAAGCATTGAGAAAGCTGAGCTTCAAGTCTTTGACTCATCTCTGATTCCCTTTAGGTCTACATTGTAGTATAAAAAATAATATTGAAATATATAATTATTATCAATAAAGTTATCAATTATTTGTTATTTTATTTTATGTAATTAATTGAGTTATGATTGTAATTATTTGAATGATTTAGCGAATCATGAGAATTATGAGATTTGTTTGACATACTTTTAGACAAACTTTATATAGCAATTATAACTTTCTTTTGATCAATGTGAAAAAGACAGTTAAGAAATAGTAATCATTTTTTTCAGACAGCTCCAGTCATTCCATATTCCTAAATATGTATGTACTTCTTTGCATATAAGATATTTAGCTTCTGAATTAGTATATTTAAATACATCTTGATACCATGCATTAGAATTAGTATATATCAAGAAAGAGAAGTATTTATATATTGCTTCATGAATTGTGCTTTTTTCTTTCAGAAACTTAGAAATTTTGATAATACAGTCTCGTGAGATATAATTATCATGATAAATATTGACCAAACAAACCTAAAATCAGATAACTTAACAGATCAGATTTTTACAGGTAACATATATGTAAAAAGTTATATACCTGAAAATCAATTGCGTAATACAGTTATTAGATCAGCATACCATATAATAAATTAAAAGGTTATGAAACTTCTGCATGCATAATGTAATCATATGACCTGATTGTTATCAAATCTGATTAACCAACTTATGCCATATGCATTTTCTTTGTGAAAAGTTTTTTCGCTATGCATATTTACATAATAATTACCTATAACTTGCATTGCTCTAGTTTTACATTCCCTGAATCTACTATTTTCACACCTAAATAAGATCAGAAATGAGTAGAGGGAATGTTTTAAAAGGACAGTATATTTGTGTTATGATTGTTTGTCATTTTTAGTGATTTTATCTAGCTAAATTCTTTCCTATACACTAATATATTCTTTATATCAACCCCACTACATAAAAATGACTACTAATACTGTATTATTTGAAAAAGTTTATAATTTTCTCCATAATTCCCCTTTAGAATATATCACTGTAGTTTTCATAATCAATCAAGTAATAGAAAAAGAGCTATGATTTTCAAAGGAAGATTCGAGATAATTAATATATAATATAATTGTTTCTATAAAAAATCTGTATGGAGAGAATTCTGGGAAATATAAGAAACTCATTGAAATTCTATTTAAGATTGGTATTTTACTCTCAGATCTTATTTTTATCACCATATGATGAATAGTGCAGAATCTTGATAACTGGGTTGGATAGATATCCAGAGCCTGTAAGCACAGGTTTAATCAGTAATGTATTAATTCTTAGATGCATGGGAGTATTTTCTTGATCTTGATTTGAGATGATAATTATAAATATATTATGTGAGTTATCATTTATATGCTGGCTATGTATAGTTGATGATTTAACATGATATATTCTGATGGATGTACACACATATTTTATGTTAGGAATAAGTTTATCTAGGATTAACTAATTATAACTTATTTTCTGTACTAGTTTGATGACACTTTTGAAGGGATGTGTAGTCTCTAAGATATTGATTTGGCAAAATGGGATGAACAGGTATCCACTAAGGAGATTGAAATGAATCTGCAGAAACTAAAGTTGAATCTTGATAACAGTACAGCCCCATATGCTAAAAAATTACTCAAATATCTTAAAAAAATTAAATCTTCTAACCTTTCATGAAGAAATTCTGAAGTAAGTCAAGTAATTAGTAGTGATTCAGAAATTATACAACACTTATCTGAGGAGGCAGAAGATGAATATAACCATTATATGGAGCCAATAAAACATATAGAGAGGATGACTCCTCTTCATATCAAAGATATATGTAATGAATTTGTGATGAATTATAATAATATCATGTATGAAGAGGTGTCTATCGAGCTTTCACATGGAAATTGGAATGAGTTGGAAGAAGATATTATAGGGATAGCATCTGGAATACTCGATACAATGTTAGTATAATACATTTCTATTTTGACATCACTTTATGCTAGCACAGCTAAAAAATTATTTCTGTTATTGAAACTAAAGGAAGTATTTAAAGAAATCCAGTGTTTAGAGAGAAGTTTGCAAAATCTCAAAATAAAGAGATATATGTAATAGATATTATAGTCTCTGTAGTAAAAGCTTTATTAGAAAAACTACCAATAAAGAGTTTTGTCTTCGTTAGCATGTAAGTATGATATTATTTACTTTTTCCAAGTAACTAGCATTTATTTACTTTATTTATATAAAGTGAAATGACAAAGTATAGCAAGTAAAGATCAAAGGGAGAAGACTGACAAGCATCTCAATATTATGTTCATGGTAAAGTATGGGAGAAAAATCTATGAATTAATGTTTACCAAATGTTCTCATCTTTTTTGTGATAAAGATAAGGAAGAAAATGATTAGATGAAGTTATGGAGAGAAATAAATGATGGCATGTATTGGGTATACAAAGATTATAAGCCTAAAAAAAATGAGTTTGGAATTATTAGGATATAAGTTGCTGGACAAAAGTTTTACCTGTATATTCTTATTCAGGATAGAGATGGAGTAGATAAATTTTTTAGACTATATTTGATAGATATCCCGGTACAATTCACAGATAAAGATACTGTATATAATTTTGTGGAGATGCTGTTACTATTATGGGTATAGATCTAGTTATTTATACGTGTTCTCTATATAATAGAGTATACCTAACTTCCTCTTTTTTATAACAAATTCTAATTGTTAACCTATCTTTATTATTAAATACAGATCATGGTTTACATGAGTATAAAGAAGATAGTTCAATAGTATCATCACCCCTATATAATAATTAGATTTTCATTATCTATACTATATTTATTCAATATATTTTTTGATATATCAATAAAGGTGCTATAATTTTGTGTGATATATTTTTTGGACACATGATCAAATATCAAGTTATACATCTTATATAGTTACATTAAAAAATTAATTATATGTTTGTAATATATCCCAAAATAGATTTAACACTCAAAATAGATCATGTAATGATTATCCCAGATATAGAATGATACATTATCAATCTTAATCAATAAACTATCTTTCCTATCACTAGCTATATATGTTTCATGAGATATGGGATATCATTTCTTTAAAATACTTCTATGCTAATCCCAATTAGTTAATAATTTCCAGTTTTTTAATTTTTCTAATTGGATGGATCACACCAGGAAATTAGCAGGAGGCTGATGCTTGGGTAATTATCATATACATACCCTTACTGATGACATTTTCACATTTTTTTTTTTCGCAAAAGTATATGCTATTCATCTTGAGTAGGACATTAACTCTAGAAATTTTATTTCTAATGGCTTGTCGAGTAGTATTGTTTTTTTAATCTGTCATAGGAAATTAAGTAAGTAATAGATGTGGTGTTATCAAAATTCACAAAATAGAATTTATGAAGGAAGGAGTAATAACGCATAAAGAAAGCAAGGCTTGAGAGATCCACTAACTAGTCAATTGATGAAGAACTCACCATACCTGACCCTGATGATAACAAAGATACCATACCTGATTCTAGTAATGATTAAGATGATGAAAGACTAGATTTATTCTATGATCCAAAAAAAGTAAGTTAAGATTATATGGGTTATATTTAGCAGTTAGGATATTTTTATGGTTTGACATATATGAAGTGAAGATTAAGAGTAGTTATCATCTTTTGTGACAGATCTAGGATCTGACTGTTTCCTCCCTAAGTGTGAAAAAGCTTCACTTCATATTTCTTGCATTTTTTCAGACCCTATGGGGTATTCTTTGAGCATATATTTTTTCTAATCTTTTAATATCTTCTTGAGTATGGTTGGTAGTCATATGTGAGGTATAGAAGTTTTGATAGACTTTCATAATTCTCAGAGTATGTCTGTATATTGAGAATCACTGAGCTATACTACAAGTATTCACCAGGAAAAATCTATTTTTTTATTATATTTATGCTGAAAGATAACTATTATTTCTTCAAAACTTGACTAGTTAAGCTAATTATTTATATAACATTTTGTTTTTTTAGCACAAAATTCAACTCAAAATGTATTTATCTACTAAGAGCCAATTCTGATAATATATCAAATCTCAGTAATTCTCAGAAGATTTTCTTACCAGAGATCTTAAGTCAATTAATTCTTCAAAAACTACCACTATTGTGAATATAGAATTTACCTTTCTTGAGAAGCTTATAATAAAAAGACAGCAAAGACAAATTATTAAGATATTATTAAATCATGGGCTACTTTCTCCTAATACTGTAAAAGCTGATATTTTTACACTTAACTTAGATACTCTTTCAAATCATGATTTGGAAATTATAGTAGATGTTACTTGTAATGAATTGTATAAAAACTACACAAGTAGAAATTCAGGTTTTAGTAAATTCTTACTATCACAAACCATTCAAGTAATTCCAATTGCTTCTGAAGTATCAACAAAATTCCTGCATTTATTATAATCTGAGATTTTTGGTAAAACTAAAGGTGAATCTAATATTATTGAATTGGGAGTCAGAAATTTGATATATTACAATAACCATCCAAATCCAGCAAATCTGCAGTTGTAGAAAGAATTTATATTGTGAACTTGCTTCTTAATTTTCAATAATAGATTTTATAAAAAATTTCACGATCATTGTCATCATCTTTGGTGTAAAGTATTACACATATATCAATAGCATGAAGCCTATAAAAATAGTATGGAGTTAGATATTATCCCAGAGATCCTGCTATAATATCTAAAAGACAAGCTTTTTATTGCTAAAGAAATGATGGAAAAGATAGTGGGTAGTGTTTACCTCGATGGGTATAAATATGTTTGAGAACTGCAATACTTTGAAAATATTTTTGAAGAGATGATAATCAATTTTTTTGATCTGGCAGATCTTTCAGTTGCAAAATCTGCACGAATAGCAGTTAATCAGTATTATAATCATAATCTCAACCATCCATCACATTAATCTAAATAATTTTCAAAGGACCTAATAGAATATTTCAGCAGTTTTACTGATAGTAATAATGAGCCATATATTACTATAAATACCACTTCTACTCATTACAGAAAATATTAAATATATATCTGAGAATTAATAAAAGGATTTTAATCCATCTCTAACGTAATTAATAACTATTTTGATAAAATATACTCAATTCTATATGTCAAAATAAGGAAACTCAATCTTGGGCTCAATATTTATAGATCCTTCAGCACCTTTCCTAGTTTATCCATCAACTTCAATACTATCTGCCAATTCTATTAAGATTTGAAAGATCACTGAAATATGCTTTGTGTCATCTGTTCTCTAGAGATATTTGAAGATAAAGAATTAACTTTTCCTGAGTTAAAGTTAGCTATTAATGCTAAGCAAGAACAGACAATTGCTTTTAGATCACACTTTTTAGTCCACAAGAATCTTTCAATAATAATTGGGATTTATTATAGTATTGTCTTTTACATTCATGATACTGTAATCAAATAAAAGTGGTTATTTAGTTCTCTTTTTGATGATAGGAATTTAGATAACACTCACTCAATTGAGGATGATATTAAAAAATATGACAAGAAACTACAGAAATACTCCTCTCCTAAATTAGCTCCTTGGAATTCCTCAAAATTGAAAAATTATCAGTGGAGTTATCTTGGTAAGGGTATATATTATTAGCGTGAAGTGTCTATTATGATAAAATATATTGTATTGACATCTGTGCTTACTTTACTAATATATGCTTATTATTAAAGATCTAGAACCAGTAAGGCAAGAACTACCAGCACAGTATAGGAAATAACATTTTCACAGTACAGAATTAGTAATAAATATGTATTTAATAGATTTTTAATTATATTTATTTTTTATATCACTATATCTTATATATATAATATTATGTGATTTCGAAGTTACGATGTAGTTATAATTATTTTCAGATTGAATTTGCTTATTCATTTAATTTATATATTTATGCATATTAATTATATTATCATATTATAACAATCATGATGAGTAATACTAATAATACTGATCCAAGTGAAAAATTTCTTTAATTATATGAGATGCTTTTATATAAGAAAAAAAATATAACAGCTATTCAGAAAAAACTTGGTATTAATAGTAATATAAATCAAATGGCAATGTCAGAGAGCAAGATAGCGAAAGAACTTGCTGATTCATATAAATTGCTATTAGAATTGGTGAGGGATTTAATACCTATACAGGAGAAACTTGATATAGATATCAATCCCATTTTAGAAATAGAACTTAGAAGGGATAAAGCCTCTTCAGATAAATCAATTAGATTATTTGATTTGCTTTTATATTTAGAAGATAATATAGTGACAATTCAGGAAGAACTTGGTATTGTCAGTTATACTAATGAAGAAATAGCAAAAGAAGTTGATAAAAATGCGAGAGTGTATCTCCAAAGATTTGAGAAATTTCACGACCTCTTAGAAGATGATTTAGGTGTGTTAATAAAGAAATTCACTGATATAGGGATAAAAAAATTTTGGTTTACTGGTGAGGGACTACCATTATTTCTAAATATCTCTTCTCAATAATTACATGAAATTTTCGTCAAAAAATTGACTAGTGCCAATCAGTACCTATATCTAGAATCAAAAGTAAAACAAGAAAAATTATCACAGATATATATACATCACAGCAAATAAAAATTCTTTATTTGAAATTAGCTAGAGGCTATCAAATACTCTGATTATCCACTCTATTCTTCGATATTAAGTAAAATTATTTGTAAATCATGAATGATTAAGATTTATCTCACTAATCTCTCTGATACAATTACTGAACACAGAAATAAGATCTGTTTCATCTAATAATATACTGATAAATATTGGAATAGGTGGATCAGAATTGAACTATTTTGTATCTGAATAATTAGAGTATTCGATTTTAATTTTAGGATTAAGTTTTTTCATCACTTCTTTACTAATCTCTTTACATCCTTCCAAACTAAGATATTTCAAATTAGTACAGTTACAAGATATTTCCTCAATAGCTTTATTATTAATCAAATAATAGCCAAGCTCAAGATGTCTAAGTTTTGGGCACAAGTAAGTAATTTCAGTAATATATCAATTAGTAAGACATATGCATGAATTAAGACTCAGATGTTGTAGTTTTGGAGAAAATCTCACAATTTCTATAATTGGTATATTAGTAAAACCCTTACTTTTGTCAAGAATAAGAGTATGTATGTCTGAATATGAGTGTAAAATTGTACTAATCAATATATCAGAGATTTTTAAACCTTCTAATCTGAGATATAACATCATTAAATAATAGAGAGGTTTTATCTTTCCACACATAACTTTTTTAAATTTCAATAATTGCTAATAAATAGTCTGAGATTTCTTTTGACTATATGAATCTCTCTAATAATCTTCATTGAAAAACTTAACGCAACACCATAGAATAGGAGCATTGCAGTGATATCAAAATCAATTAATAAATAAAGTGGGATAGAGAGATTGATTGATTTCTAAAAAATATAAGATCTGTTCTAGTAATTTGGGTAAATCAAAAATATTTAGACCCTTTAGAGAATTTGAGATTCGATACTTTATATCATCATTACTTCATAACAGTTGTGTCATTCTTAAATTATATATTATATATCTTTAATCAAAAAAAACAGCTAATATTTAGATAATTAATTTTAGGCATATATACTATGGATTTTCTAGATATTCTCAATTATACTTAACCTCATAACTAGTTCTATCGAAGAATGTAAGAGTTTTATTTGGAAAGTTCACTTTCATTGCATTTTCCTGAAACCATAGCTGATCCAATATCAGTACTAAAGATGGCTCCTCAACTAATTACAGCTTGTGGCAGCCAATCAGAGAATTGCGACAGAGTTGTGGTAGCCAATCAGAGAATTATGACAGAGTTGCGGCTAGTTGTAGCTTCCATCTCTAATCAGTACAGATTCAAGTTCAGGTTTATTAATAATAAAAATATTAGTAATTTTTACTTACTTCCATTTCTGATCTTGAGATAGGATCAAAATTTCCATTACACGAATTATTCTTAATATATTGAGCTCGCTAATAAAACTGTATATTTCTGTATCAGATATATTATCAATTTTCAAGCCTACTATTTTTGCTATACTTTTACCTATAATATTACAATTAGTACCAGAATCTAATATAGTTTTAACTGGTACTTTGTTAATTTCGCAAGATAAAATTCTCATCATGATATTTTATTATAATAATATATTTAATTCTGTATTTTTAAATTTGTATTAATAAATAATAATTTTGCATTTACAATGACTGAAATTAATAGTAATATTAGACTGGCTCATCAGAATTTACAAGAAAATAATAATAAAATTGCATTACTAATAGAATCAGTGAAAAAATTATCAATATTGATTAATGATAAGAATACAGAAGTAGTTTGTGATTCTAATTCAGAATTTCTAATTATCACTTATGAGGTTGCAAAAAAATTTGGTTTCAAAAAAGATAAAAGTTTATCTAATAGCGAAACTAGTGTCAAGACAGATATTACTAATAAAGTGATATCTAAAATTGTTAAACAGATATCACATAAAAGAATTTTAATTTCTCTTCACCAATTACTGAAAATAGTGAAGCCCAAGATTGGGTTAGAGATTATTGATTTAATAGCAAACCCAAATATTTCTTGAAAAAATCATACACCATCTAAGGCTAAAAGAAAATGCAAAGATAGAAAAAAACTAATTTTTAATGATACAGCATCTGAGTTCTCATCTGGGTCTGAATTGTCTAGTCATAAAGTGACTGTCTCTGACAATGATGATGAAGATTTTATTGTGGATGTGGTAAAAGTAAAGAAGCATAATTAGTAATTATATAAGTCTATAATATCCGATATCTCAGTATTTTTTTCTCTAGTCATTAGAGCAATTGATTTGTCATTCATTATATTGTAATGATCTGATACTATATTAATTACCTTGTATCTTAATACTAATTAATGAAGATATTTACGATAGACATCATTTTTACCTCTATGAATTGTAATAGCATGTTCAGAACTAATTTTTCTCAAATGCGATGAGCTTATTCCATAAATTACTAGAAAATTATTAATTAGATGGATGTTTATATCACCATCTTTATCTCTTATTAAAAATGAGAATTTATTAGAAATTGCTTTCTAGATCTAAATAAGTAATTCTCTAGCTAGTAATGAATCTTTCTCCATAGATACTAATGGTCTAGATTTGTCTTTTTTATTTTTGGCATATCCAGTGCAGTACCAAGAATATTTAGGATTATATCATTCAGTAGTATCTGCTTTATAATATTTAATACAGAGGTTTTTCACATCTGCCAGTTTCATACATAACATTATCATTATATCAATTAAATTTTGCATAGAGGGAGATTTTATTATATCACACTTACTAAGTCTTTCCTGAATATTTTTTAGATAAAAGAATTCTGGACAATTGAACTCTTCATTTTTACGGAGTTTCTGATTTATTACTTGTTCTTTATTTGATTTTTGAGTAATATTGGGTATATATATTACTTCTAATATAAGATATTTAGTATTAAGTATATGCAATTTTTTTCAAAGCAATTTAAAATGTGAAGATTGAGCTATTACAGTAGGAGCTGTTTTAGCTAAGTTATATATTAGTGTATTTATCTCTTCAGATTCAAGATTATCTTCATTTTCCTTAATATATTGAGTGAGCTTTTCAATCAGGTCTCACCCTGTAACATATCTTCTGGAAGCCTGAATAGGAATTAAAGCATATGTTTGATCTTTACTAAATCCTAATTTTTGAATTCTATTCTGAATATAATTACAGACTTTATAATCTTTAATCTCTTTATATATTTTTTTAGCATAATTATCAAGCTTATCTGAGAAGTTAAGTTATACTGATTTATGAAATTTGTAGCTATTTTAGATATTATTGTTATGATATAATTGTGTGGACTATAATTATAAAATATATTTTTTTAAATCGAAATTAATTATCCATGAATAACTATATTCAAAAAGTTGAATGGGTCATGGTTATTGTAATTCTATTGGAAAATGAAGTGAATAAGATATGGAATAGATTAAAGATTTTAGAATCTATAGCTTTACATAATAAAATTACTAAAAATATCAATAAAATCAAAGAGAATATAACATTACTTAGGCATATAAGTGTCATTTTTCCAAAATAAGAGGTTCTAGAAAAAATAATCAATATATATATATATCAGGTATATGATTAGACTTCGAGTATAGAATCAGAAAAGTCAGATATATAATTCTTAAATATGGTAATTTGTGCACATAACTCATTCTGTTTTTTTCTGTCATAATTCTCTTTACTTTTATATTTTCTCACATATTTATTATATGCATTATATTTAGATCTATTTGAATCATCACAATCTCTACAAGGAGTAGATATTAGAGAATTATAATGAATATAACATCTTTTTGATTTACTATGTTGACCACAGATTTTTCCAATTCTATGAATATATGAGCAATGGTATAATATCATTGTGATTATATATAATAATTACTTCAATCAAATATATAATTTTTTTTTGATGTCTGACTAAAATTTCTGGAATAATTAATTTTATTTTAAAGATTTATCTACTAATTAATATAGTTTTAATAACATATACTTTTTGTCAGATCAAACAGCGTACATATATAAATAACATATATATAAATCAATAAAATGAGTTTGTCTAGTGAAGCAAAAAAACAACTTCATGAATCATTACAATAACAGTGCTTAAATCAAAAGTCAGCTGAATATAATGAAGTAAAATGATTTTTTATGGGTTTAACAAATCTTGATTATAAACCTGGCCATAAAGAACATATATTTTATAAATACTAGCTTGCATCTAATGGACATACCAGCTCTTCTGATAGAAACAATACTGGACTTTTAGATGCATATCAACCTAAAGAGATTCATTCTTAATATATAATTCAGATAACAAAAAAAGGTTATATAGTAATCGATTATCCCTCTGAAGTTTATAGAATATCTGATACTCACAAATATATTGATAATAACCAGCCTCTTTGTTTGATTATTGATATTAATGCAAGGCAAAAGCCTGATCCTACAAATCCTAAAGTGTCTTCCTTAGATGATAAAAAAATTATACAAGAAGATTTATTATCTCAAATTTTAGTCACTTGTGCAGATACATTAAGTCTTATTCCTAATTATATGTCTTTCTTAAATTCTTTTGCCTTAGCTAGTTCATCAAATACTAAGAAATATAGTTAGCATATTATTTATCCTTATGCCTGATTCATAGATTATAGAAAACTTAAGAGATTCACAGAAAAGATTATGGAATTAGTTAGGAAACCTTATTCAAAATTTATTGATAATGACCTTTTCAAAACATATTTCAATCTTCAGCTTCTAGAATCAGTAAAGGAAGGTTGTATAAAAAGACCAGCTATTTCTTCAGTTAAAAACAGATTTAAAAATCTAGATAATTATCTGGTTCAGCCTAAAGAGAATTATTCCGTGATCTGACTATGA